CTTCATTCATTTATGGAGTTGAAAATGACGAAAACTATGAGGTTAGTAGGTGTTGATCGGTACAGTTGATTTTTGCTGCCCATTATGTTATGATTATGACTGCAGTCTCATATGCAATTTTAACCTGGCACTGGGACCACAATGTGCCATATGAACTTTAGCTACTGTAGTTGCACTGTGTCAATTGTACTATAGATGCCAGTTTTTAGTCTGAAAGAGTGTTTATGATCCAAAGGGGATCGAAATGTTACCACATTTTTCATTGTATCTGCATTCCAATGTGTAGTTCATCATGTCTCCAGTTTGGAGTGTGTTGGGTTTGGTGGTTTTAAACCCTTGTCTTAATCTTAATGTGCAGCACAGTTTCTTTTGATGTTTTCCGTTACTTGTAGAGAAGCCTCTGCCTGGTATTAGCTCAGTTGCTAGACTAGACTGCTGAGAAGGTATGCTCCCTTGGCCACAATGTCACAACCACAAATCATCGTTGACAATTAGTTTTGGCAATGCATACTTCACACTGATGTGTGTACTACTGTAGCTCGAGTTGTGTGTACTACTGTAGCTCGAGTATTGGTCCCCAAGAGTTATGGCATGAAACACGAGCGAAAAGGCCAGTATGATAATTACCTCGGGTTCGCTTTCTCTGTGTATCTTGAAGGCACAAGAAATCACAACGAAGGGCCTGTATCGACTCCCGCATGCTATCTCCGTGTAAGGCTCTCCGCGAGCAGCGACTAGTGGGACCACGAGTAAGCGCATACTAAAGAGCCCAGTTCATCAATTAGCAGTACCGCGTACGCGCAGTTCGCCAAGCGTTTGCACTTCAGTGCTTTTTCATTTTGACTCTCTAATTGTGGTTGTTAGCTAGTCAGTAGAATGACATATTTCACTCTGTTAGTAATATAGGTTTCATCTCTATGCGTGCTACTGGTAGCGAGTTTGAGGAGTGAAAAAGTAATATAGAGAAAAGTGCCTAAGGCTCTTTGTTGTGCAAACAATGTACTCGTCATGGAAACAATTGCTTATTAAGTTCTCCATGCACACTACCATAAGCAAGTTTGAGAAGTGAAGAGCTAATATTGAGGATCATTGCCTGAGGCTCTTCGTTGTAATGCTGAATATATTGCAGAACATGGAAAGGAGCCTGGCTACGAGGATAGCTTAGTTTTCTCATTAGTACCAGCAACTGAAGCGCCCGTGAACAGAGTGTGCCGCGCCTCTCGCGCATTTTGCCTGCGTACCTCTCTCTAGCTCGCCAGCACTGCGAATTGCGCACCTGCATTCGAGCGCGCGGATTAGCCAAATTGGCGATTTCCAGCTGAGAATTTTCGCCAAACTCCAGGTTTTTGTTGCATTTGGCGACCGGTAGCGGAACCCCAGAGTAAACAACATTTGCAAGCAGTCTCTTCACATTACAGATATGTATGTTTCTTCACAATATCGTATCCATAAGTGTTTTCATTATTGGGCCTTTCGTCTAGAATAAGATGAACCAAAAGTAATAGTAACCCCGTAAGATACGAACCATGCTCATCCCTGTAATACTAAAGAATACCATACTTGTGATATGTCACACATCGAAAATTTTAAACGAGCAAGCAGTCCTTTATTTGTTACTTAGGTTCGAGTGGCTATTCTAGTTGAAGTTAGCCCACTGAAGCTGAACAGAAGCCAATGGACTGACTGGGTTGGAGTAAACGACACCAAATCTCAAGGTATTAATACCACGTACGTACAGTCTCATTATGTTGCTCAAGAATACTCTGAACTGAGGTTCTGCATATTTTGCCCAACATGATCTCTCAAACTTAATGTCGCAGCAGATACAATATCACAGCATACAATGATTGGCAATCCGATATTTAGTCTTTTCTATACCCCTTGTAGGTGGTGAAGTTCAGCCGACTACCGAGAAAGGTATATTGCTGTTTTTGTGGTGTGCTCTGTATGCTGTCCAATTAAGGAATAAACACTCACTCTACTGTTCATTGTAGGAGAAGTCAAGCCTACCAACAATAGAGGTATATTAAATATGTACATTTTTAGGTGGCAAAAACCAGTCTTTATTGTATTGCCGAATGCACATTTATGCAAGGGCTAAAGCAATCCATGTTCATGTGTCTGTCAGGTTTTTAGGGGGCACAACATGCAATTTTAGTTGTGACACCCCATGTAAGTATTTCACATTAGACACAGCATTGCCAGGGTGTGCTCAGCATGGAATAGCATCACAAATATATTGCGGTATTTTGCTCAGCTGGAGCATGTCGGTGTTTTTCTCATGTGTGTGTAAGAGTGCAACTAAGGCCGTTAGCTTCTCAAGCAGAGTCACTGTCAGTCTTTCTTGCAAGTGATGCACCTGTCTGTTTTGCATCATTACAAGTGTGCAGTGTTTCAAGAACGGTGAGTATAGTATAGACTTACTTATTACTTTCAGTTCTCCTATCTTCATTGCACGTGAGAAGAAACGGCCATCCCGTCAGTGGTCACGTGTTACTTCTAGCTCAATTCATAGCGGACCTCCAAGAGAATAACCGCCTTATGAAGGAAAAACAAAACAGGCAACTTACCCTCCTGACCAGCATCCTTGCATGGACCCTGCTTTAGCTTTTGTCACTGGAGAGCCGGCACTCAACAGAGCAGGTTTCTCGTGCTGAGTGAGTCCTTGATCATTCCCTTGAGGTTCTTGCCTGACACAGCACGAGGATTGGTTTTGGTACGTGAGTCCTCTTCCGTCATTCCAAAAAGAAAGGAAAAAATCTGCTGGGACGTCGATCCACTCGTTTGCCTGCCTTGTGCCTGAATGAGCCGCGCATGCGAGGGCCTAGAACCCCAACAAGCCTGTGCGCTTATCTGCAGTTAACTTGGTCTAAAGGGGCTTTTAAACCTACTTTTCAAGGGCCCGAGTCGTCATACAACGTCCCAAGTAAGGAATGTACTAAAAATATCTCCGCCATTTTTTGCTTTCGATATTGTATGTGGACTTGCATCATACCGAGCCCGGTTTGCCACTTCAGCATACGCAGTGTTGACACAATTATGTATAATATGTGCAGGTGATGGTGCTGATGTTGATGTTATTGTGGCTGCAGTGTTGCTTCCCCTGACTGTACTTCTGGTCTCAATGTTGCTCTTTACTACTTGCCTCTGTTTTTGTTGTAGTAGAAGCAAGCAGAGGTATGTTCATGTAGATGGGGATGGGCATGGTACTTGTATTAATATGGGGCTATATTACAGAGTTTTGTTCATCCTTCTAGGCGAAAGGAAAACGAAAGGAAATTTATAACCTAATGCAAAGAGACTGGGTTACTAATCACACATGCACAGCAAGGGTTGCACTAACTAAGGTTTTGAGTTTGTCCCTCTGTCCGTTTTTCTGTCATGAAGTTTTCTGGTACACATCGGTATAACATCATTTATGACTACATGCTTTAAAGCAACAACAAATAACCTCGGGTACTTTTCTTTAATGCTGCTTTTTTACTTCTCTCAAGTTAGGTAACGGTTGCGTGCATGAAGGTAAGACCTTGTATGCATGTGTATTACATCATATCATGACAACCACATATTGTTGAACAACAACCAAACCTCAGGCACTTTTTACAATAAAATTACATCTTCATGGAGAGGAAACTTTATTACACTGTCGTAAATCAAGACCATAAGAACTGATGATGCACATACAGCACAGGTACACATTTTATAGACGACAAACATGTGGTGGAGAAGAAGGTTATGTAAATGTGATGGCGTCCCCCCAGTGGCTTACGACATGTATGATGTGAAGTACTTAGGAAAATGGACACGTCGTCCTGAGCGAGTGGTGGCATATGGTGCGATGACTGTACACTCGATGGTTGGTGCTGGGTTGGGCATATCGTTGTCGAGATGGGCAGGTTTAAGGCGATGGATTGACACCATCTCCTTACGGCCGTAAATGTCCACAGTGAAGTGCTTGTCCATACGTTCGAGCACTGAGTATGGTCCATCATACGGCGGCTGCAAGGGTGTACGTGCCGCATCCCGACGGATGAAAACGTGTGTGGTGGTTGCCAGGGCGTCACTCACGTGACTGTCCCTTCACACGGGTCGAGGCGGAAGGGGCCGGATGCTTTGCTTGTGGGTTCGGAGTCGTGAGACGTAATCTGATGGGTCGGGCAGCGAAGGAGAGGAAGTGGGAGTGAAAAATACGCCGGGGAGACGTTGTACCATACAATTTCTCTGCTGCGGTAGATAATATATCCTCCTTTAGTGCCGTCCGTATGCCGAGGAGTGCTAGTGGCAGCACATCCATTCATGACGTGGAATTGGTTTTGGCCTTCAGTGCCTCCTTCAGTTGGCGGTGAAACCGCTCAACCATACCATTGGCCTGGGGATGATAGGCAGTCTGAGTCTGAGCTCGTTTCAATCCCAGCAGGGTCATCAGGGCGTCCTAGAGATGTATGATTCGAAGACCAAAACCAATCCCAACTTTTATTGCTTTTCGTGTATCCATGACGTATTAGTTAAACACATGCTGGTAAGGGAGGCACGTGAATTATACGCCCGAGGGTTCTAATTGTATTCCTGTGCACGGGCGTATAACCGCTAGCCTCCCGCAACCGGCCTGGTATAACTAGTTTGCAACCCCCAGTAAAACTGGTAGTGTAGTTGCATAAAATGTGTTTTGGCAGGTTCACTTTTGACTTTGTGTGCATCAAAGTCGACTGGAGCGTTTTGCAAAGGTATCGTGGCTTGGGAAAGACATATTCAACACGTACGACTTCAGTGAGAGCACCTATTTATTCCGGGGAGGAAGCCCAGACTAGAGAGAAGCTGTGCGAACCGTGGAAATTTTGTAGCATAGCGCTGTGCAAGCTCGGCTGGAATAACCAAGAACTTAATCTCGAGCATAGATGCGCATAGTGTTCCCGTGACAATGTGGGTAGCGACGGTCACGGCACTGGCTCCACTTCAAGCTCTGGGTTTGACTCACTCGCTGTGAATCGTGTACTAAACTTCATGGGTTGAATTCTACTATGCGAAGGCAAGAAAAATATTTTTTTGGATGATTTTTAGGCTTTGGTTTATTGCCTTATTGTTATATTCATGAGTTGAGGTCCCATGCATTTCTATGATAGTGAAAATGAAATAGAAGTTCGCATTTGTGCATACATGCCCAATTGTGTTGCACACGTTGTACTGTGTTAGTTCGACAACTTGGTGGGAGGCCAAAAAATGTCAGGCATGTCAGCTACATTATACACGGAACAGGACATGTAAGATTTTTTGCCTCCCAACACTGACACCGTAGAATGTGTGCAACGCAACTGCGCATGTGTGTGCAAATGCGTGCCCGACTTTCACTCCTGTAGAAATATATGGGACCCGAACTCATCAACATAATTATTAATGACTGACTGAAACAAAGGCTAAAATCCGAAATAATGTTCCTTGGTATTGTAGAATTCTACCCATGTCGTTTTTTAAGTTTAGTTTACCTATTACACGCCGTTAATTTAATGCGCGCTCATGCGTGGACGCCGTAAGGACATGGCGGGTTTAACCTGCGTTTGTAAACCTTGTCCATTTTCTCCTGTTTTTTTATTGATGTTCAAAGTAAAAAGTGCAACATTGGCTAGCTTAACTTAAGTGCAAAATGATCGTCGCTATAGCTCGCTGGACCGTGGAGCAGCAGCACCTTGGCTCTGACAGGTACTATTGTCGCATGTAAGTGCATTGTGTAGGCGACAGTGGCATGTAATTGGTTAAGCCAGAACTAATGCACAGTTGCCATGGGCTATAAAATGCTAATACACCAGTTACCACGGTTAGTGATAGTAAGAAATATTTCAGACGTCAAAAGCCTAATCAAGGCTCGGGAATTTCTGGGCAGGAAAGAAAGCTGCTGCTACTAGGTAGCTGGGAGCAAGAGCGTAATGACGGGCCCCGTAGGACAAACCGCCAGCACCAAGCTAAAACTGCCACAGTGACGAAGATCTCGAGTACAGCCACTGCAGGTGTCTCTGCGAGCCAGAACATAGCAGGTTTGTTTCGTGAAACAGGCCTAGTCGATTTCTGCAATAGCTAGGGTGGTTTTTACTCCTTGCATTGGTCTATACATGATGCATGCAACAATACGTCATGGATATCCTTCGTCCTTATTCAGCCTACCTGGCGCTGACCTGGGGTGTGCGTGCTGCCCAGTAAGCCTGGGCATCGGAATTTATGTTACAGGTGGGGTCCCAGTTGCCTCAGAATCGTTACTTCTCTAAGTACTGTCCTGTTCGAGCCATGGCGTACGGCTATGTACGGCTCTCCCTGCTCGCATTCCCTGATACACTTCCCTCTACATTGCGTGTGGGCAGGGTCGAAGAATCCTCTGCCATACATTTGCTCCCTTGAACTAATTATAAACTTCCTTTGTTGTTGCGCGTGGGCAGTGCGGGTAGCTGGCTTTTGATTCTATAACATTCCGCGGTGTGCTTTGATGTTAGGCCCAGTCAGGATACAATTAATGATATTCATGCCTCACTGCAGGGCATATTAGTAATCAATAATGTTAGCATTCCACACAGTGTGGGTGTAGGGAACTAATAGCCTTGTAGGTGCATTTGATATGAGTGCCTACTTGGCTACTTCCGAATCACTGCATTGCTTGTCTTTGTAGTTACTCTGTGCAAAAGGAGGAGTTTTCAGAATCAGTGGAGGAGAAACATGTGACATCAACTGATGTTTGACTCTAAGTATAGCTGTTTCGTTGTTTTTCGTAATGTATTCTTATGTGTTTTTATGCAGTGTTATATTTTCATTAGTATGTTCATCTTTTTTAGCTAGTTATTGTTAGTTGGTCAAAGCTGCAAATGTGCATGTTTCAACGATGCTTTGGGCAATGATTGTTCCATTAGATGGGTGTGCTGTCACAGGCATGACTTGTTCATGCCCTGTATTCACCACAAAGCCCAAAAAGTGTTATTCATTTCTACAGTATGGAGTTCGCACATGAGTGTTTACCCCATATGCACCTACATACTAAATGAGGTGTGTGCTGTTGCACAGCACGGATTTTTTGTTTTTGTGTTTGTATTTCACTGGTAGCTAAAAGGATAGAGTGTTCTGCCATGATGGCAGTGTTGTCGTGCGTTTTATTCATGAGTCCCGAATGCATTGTGATAATATGATGCTTCTCTCTGAATGCTACAAGCAAAAGTTAGCGTCTCGCCATTGATTAAGCTCAATGTGTTAAATAGCTGGGAGGGGGGTGACCTTGGAGGATTACTGACGGCCTTTATCAGGGAGCTACAAAGAGAAGACTTGCGCTCAACTCGTCCTAATGACTACATATACAAAACTCACTTCTCCTAAAACGATGTTTCCAAAACTGTGCATGAGCAGTTAAGTAGACACCACTCAATCAGTGCCAGTATGATCTCCTGAGCTTCAGTATGATTTAGTCAGTCCTTTTGTGAGAGACACTACAGTGGAGTTTCTATGATATTAATGCCCCCAATTTTTGAATTGCTAGTGAGTTACTGCATCTTCATAGTTGCAAATAAGTATAGAAGGCTCAGTCACCAGTTGTTGCACAGCACATATTACATCAATCTTATCTTCTCCCTCTTACAAAATAGCTATATACTAATGTGCTGTCTTGAAAGTTGATCAATGTTGGCAGAGGTACGAAAGCATGAAAACTAAAAAGGTAAGCCGACTTGAAAACATGCTGAGCAAAGCCAAATTTCGCATTGCAAAGGATCCCGTTGCGGGTAACAGGTAGTGGCCTCATTGATCCAGCGTACTCAAAGAGCACTTATACGTCCGCAACTTCAAGACGGCGTATGTGCTTGGCGGGGGGGGGGACGAACTTTGGTTGCCGCTGGCTATGAATGTCGAACATGAAGTCGCTTGAGTTGCGAAGTCGGCTTCATGAGTTGCGAAGTTTGGCGTTCCATATTCTTGAGTCTCTCCTCTGTCTCTGCTCCCAACGGATAACAAGTTTAGCAAGATATGAGCACAACAGTTCACGTAAGAGGATGCGGCCATGCCTTCCCATGTGGCAATATGTCGCAAGCTAGTCTCGGTACCAGAGAGTGGCTGGTACCGAGACTAGTCGCAAGCAAATGCACGCGTTTTGTGCTAACCGACCATCATTCATAATTTGGATCAAGTTGAAGCATGGAATTACACTTCTCGTTGCACATT